GAAAAGGCCGACTCGGCAGATGACAATCACCTGCGTCCTGCTGGAGTATCTGACAGCTTCGACAGCTTCTCGTTCACTGCTCCCTAGCTGTTTAAGCCCCGGGCAAAAAGAAGTGTTTTAAACTACGAACAACTGTTTTGACCTTTGGTGACCTGATTACGGGTGTGGGACAACGTAAACGCATGCTGGAAAAACCTATTTGGATTCACGCGTGCGACAAATTCGCGCAGAAAAAAAATCTGATCTCCGAAATGTTGTTCATCAGCGCAGAAAGGTCGTTGCGTCTCTTTGAAATCCGGGTGACGGTGCCTGGTCTGCTTTTACAGCTTCACATATGCACTTGAATGAGTGACGTTATGTTTTGGGAAAACGTTTTCTACGCCGGATGTGTGTGAGCGAGCGAGCGCGCGTGCGTGCGTGCCAAGTTTCATCCCACAGAAATATTTGACACTGTTTTGTATGCGCTTTGTTGCACAACCCTCTTAGAATGCCTTCTGTAGTGTGACATGCATGAACGACAAAAGTTCTGGTAGGTGTGTGTGTGTGTGTGTGTGTGTGTGTGTGCGTATGTGAGTGAGCGTGCGTGCGTGCATGGGTAGAAGTTCTGGAGGTGTTTTCTGCTTTACCGATTTGTAAATTAATGTTTTCAGAGAAGTCTTTTGATAATGTACGATACACCCGTGTAAAATTGTGTACATAAGATTGTAGTGTGGAAGTCGTTGACACGTATTATTTATTTGTATAAAGCGAAGAATTGCATTCCTGAATTGTAACTTTAAATTATCCACGGAAATGATGTGGTGTTTCCTGTGCATCGTTTAGAATCGACTCTTGATTTTAGTGTTTGTTTTTATTTATTTTCTACTTCTTTCTGTTAATGAGACCGTCTTTTTAAGTTTCTGGTGGCACTTGTTTTCATATTCAATTTTTTTTTGTGTGTTTTTTTTTTTGTTAACAGGACGGTCCACTGTTGTAAATGTAAAGATACATGCCGTATGTCCTGGGATCAGACCAACCTGGTTTCACCTTTTGAATTTGTTTGACATATTGCTTTAAAATGTCTCTATATTGAATAAAAAAAAATTGTTAAAGAAGTCTTTTCAGAAGTCTTATCTTACGGTGGTTGAGGGTGGGGTGAACCAAGTGGAATTGTACGTGTATAATGTCAGGGGAACCTTGTTAATGTAAAGCGGAACAAAGTCCAACTTCCGCCGGAACGCAATTGTGATGGGACATAATTTGACATTAATTAGCAGTTGACGGACTTCCGGCCGGGATGTGGACGACGTCGGACGTGTTTTTCAGTTATAATATAACTTATCAAACTTATATCTCTGATTAGAAGAC